CCCCCCCCCCCCCAGCCAAGCTGCAGCTCCATCCTGTGCCCACCCCCTGTCCTGGCTGGGCAGTGCTTGCCTCAGCCCCACTGCTCCCTCACTGTGGGGTGGCCTTGATCTTCCCTCCCCTTCCAGCACACCAGACTTACCAGCTGCACACAGCTCTGCAAGCTGCCAGCCTGATGTTGGAAATCAGATTGGTATTGACAAATATGCCTTCTTAAAATTGGGTAACTGTGTTGGTCCCAAAAATCTCTATTGGTGCACCCCTACTGTAAAGAGAATTGCTGTATCTGCGTGATTCCCATTTTTGAAAATGTGCTATGATTGTTGTTGACATGAAATTCAGTTTAAGTGTATTGAAACTTTATTTTTTAGCTTTTAGTTTTCCTTATCGCTTACATCAGTGAGTATTTTCCCAGTTTTGCTGTTTTCTTTGCTTCATGCTGCCACTTATACAAAGAAAGTTCTTGATGTAAGTATGGTCTGATATGCTGCTATATACATTTGTTATGAGCGCTTTGTCTGAGTGGGGCGGGGGTATAGACTGTTAAAGGTTGTGATGGGTTCTCCCTTTGGCTGGACTTCATATTTTCAGAAGAAAAAAGGTGGAGACTATTGCAGGGTAGGGCTGTACTATGGAAAAACCTCATTTTAATATTTTTTGATGGGGGTGGCAGGGTTTTTTGCATGGTGTACATGGATGGTAGGGATGTCAATATTATTAAAAAAATAGCTGTTTAAACTCTAATTATATCGGTTAACCAATAACGCATACTGATGGAGTAGCCAGCACCCACTCTGCTTGCTACAGGGCAAGATGTGCGCAGGTGGCAAGCAGCATTCCTGCTGCCAGCTGCTGCATTGCACCCTATGTCCTTCCTCCCCCTCCTCTAGGGAGAAATCTGGCTTACTCAGTCTGGTTTACTGAGCTCCAGCACTTGGATTTATGTGGTATGAACTGCTGGTGAAAGGGACAGGAGGCACAGAAAGACAGGCTGGGCTGCCTCAAGGAAGGGTAGTCTTGAAAAGTAGTACTAGTAAACTGCATGATTTTTCCATGTAGAAAAGGAACCCCATCCACCATGTAGTACACTTTGAATATTAGCTGTAATGCTTTAATGGTATAAATATTATAGCTTAACTGTTTCTACTTTCATATCCCTAGTGGATGCTCTCACCTTTCCTCAGACAGATGTGCTTGTGGACCAGCTGTTACTTGCAGTGTGTTGTCTCTTTTAGTCAAGTATTTTGTGATGATTCAATGCTAGAGCTTTAGGGTTAATATATTTTAATACTGTATTCTCCTCAGTCTATTCCTCTTGGGGAAACCAGTGATTTCTGTATTTGGCTACAGTGCAGACATACCTGTGAGAACTTTGCAGCGCTGTGGAATGTGGTGCTGTATCTGGATCCATTCCAGCCTGCACTTGGGCTGCTGTTCTGTTTCAGTACATGAAATGGGGATGTGAAAGGCTAAACAATTGTTCAACTGATAAATGTAATGATAACCAGTTACCTTGCTGACTTAATGGTTATTGTTTAGTGCAGAGTGGGATGCAGTCTGGCAGGGAAGGGAAGCCACTGGGTGCCCCAGCAAGAACTGGAAGGCAGGAGGGAAAAGGGGGAGAGGGACTAGTACCCATGGTTTGAAGTTAAAGAGGAAAACGGCAGGCAGCCTAAGGACTCATCAATTAAGCAATTGGCTGCTGGTTCACGGGTGCTCCTTATCTCCCAAGGCTCTGTTCTCTGGCTTAGCCTGGCACCATCTCACCCCCCCCCCCCCCCCCCCCAGGGGCCCTGGG